GATGGGCAGAAGACTAAGTTGGGCTGGCCCTGCTAACGAGTCACGCAGAACGGAAGGTGGTAAGGGGAACTCTAGGAAAGCTGCTGAAATCGAGAGCCATATTGTTGTTCGTGGCTATGAAAAAGGGAGCCGCTTTACCAGAACATCGTATTTAGAGGACGGCAGCACGGTGGAGGTGTTGGCGATGCAGAAGGAGGATGGAACCCATCACGATGATCATCCAGATGCCACTATGGAAGAAGATGACCCTGGAATCTTTAAGGATTCGTTGTCAAAGATGGTCTCGGGTTACAGGCCGACAACATCGGCCAGTGTCGCTGGGGGTCGTTGAGTTTCTGTTTTTTGGGTGCCTCCCGTGCGTTGGTTTCCCATGAAGATTTTAGGTTCGAATTGTCAAGGGGCCGCCTCTAGAGCTTTCAGGCGTGCCTTCATGCTATCAATTAAGAATAATAAGCCCGATATTGTAGGGGTCATGGAGCCTAGAGTCTCTGGAACTATCGCGATAAAACCTGCAAATCCTTCGGCTTTGAAAACTGGATTAGAGTTAAAGCCATAGGATTTTGCGACGGTATTTGGATCATGTGGAGGAATAATATTGCTATTGATATAATTTCAACTAATCCACAAATTGTTCTGGTCAGTGTAGGTAACAGTGCTGGCAAAATGGGAGTGATTTCTTTCGTTTATAGAAACCCGACTCATAATCTCAAGCAGAAACTCTGGGATGGGACAGATTGGGGTTGAATGATGTTTGGATTTTGGTTGGAGATTACAACGCTGTCGCTTGCCAAGATGATGTGAGCAACATTGATAGATTTCAAGAGCACATGTGTACGGGAATGAGAAACTGGGTCTTCAAAGAAGGATTGATTGATCTCGGGTTCACATGCACCAGATTCACTTGGACGAGAGGAAAGGATAGCACCACCTTCACCGGCGCGAGACTGGATTGCGCGCTGTGTAATATGGAGTGGATGCTTTGGTATCCTGAAACAAGAGTCAAGCACTTGGCGCGAATTTGTTCAGACCATGCTCTGATCATGGGCGCACATGATCGTTAGTACTAATAATCATCGTTTATGTTTCAGGCAGCTTGGACGATGGCCCCGAACTTTTCGAAAATAGTAGAAGGGAACTGGAATCCAAATGGGACGGTTGATACAAATCTCACCACCATGCAAAAAGCTTATGGGGAATGAAGTAAGGAGTTTGGTAACATTGACAAGAGGACGAGACGCCTTGTCGTCAAAATTGAAGGAATTCAACGCAACATGGATATTTAGACCGAGCAATGGACTTATTAAGCTGGACAGGGAACTCAAGATGGAACTCGATGATACTCTCCCCATCAAGAAGATTTTAGGTGGTTCCAAAAATCTAAGGAAGAGTGGATTCAATCCGACGACAGGAATACGAAATTCTATCACATGGCTACTATGGTCCATCGGGTAAGAAATAAAATTTGTGGTCTAAAAGATAGCAATGGCAAGACAGACCCGCTAGAACTTATGGTCCATGATTTCTACAAAAAGCTGTATACGAGAGAGGAGGACAACGACCCTAGTAGTACGAATATCGGGCTTTCCCGATCATTGCGACGAAGCAGTGGAATAGAATTAACAAAGAAGTGACAAAAGAAGAGGTGAAGGAAGCTGTCATGGACACGACTCCTCTCAAAGCGCCGGGGCCTGATGGATTCCACGCTCTCTTTTACCAGAAGTCGTGGGAGACGGTTGGTGACAACATGTTCAAACTGATTCATAATTTTTTCGGAAATGGTGTACTGCTGGGAGGGAACAACGACACTAATTTAGACTTGATTCCCAAAGTACAAAATCCTGAAACAATTTCCTATCTGAGGCCTATAAGCCTCTGTAATGTCGCATACAAATTGGTGACTAAAGTGATGACGAACAGACTCAAAAGCATCATGACTAAGCCAGTTGGACCAAGTCAGAGCAGTTTCGTCCCAGAACGTCGGATACGGATAACATTGTTATCTACTAAGAAATTCTCCATACGATACGAAGGGCCAAACGCAAGCCAGGTTATATGGTTCTGAAGATAGATTTGGAAAAGGCGTACAACCGCCTAGAATGGGGATTCATCCGATCCACCTTACAAGATATTGGATTCAATAATGAGTGGATTAGGAACATTATGAATTGCGTAGAAACAACTTGAATGTCCATACTTTGGGAAGGGAAGAATCTAGAGAGGTTTAAATTGGAACGGGGTGTGAGATAGGGGGATTCGATATCCCCATACTTGTTCGTGCTGTGCATCAAGAGACTTGGCCATATCATCACAGAGGCTGTTAATCAAGGTCATTGGAAAGGCATAAAAGTGGCGAAGGACGGGCCGAACATATCCCACATTTTCTTCACCAACGACATGGTCTTATTTGCGGAGGCTGAGGAGGATCAGATGCATGTGGTTATGGAATGCCTCGATCACTTCTGTAAGTCTTCGAGCCAAAAAGTCAATAAATTGAAATCTAATATTTTTTTCTCTAACAATTGTGCAGGGAAAAAGTCAACCGACTTACTTCAATTGCGGGCATTCCCGTGACGAATGATCTTGGTAGATACTTGGGAGTTCCCTCGCTTCACGGGCACATTACAAGGGATCATTGCAAAAGCATTTTGAATAGGGTCCACGTCAAATTAGAAGGCTGGAAGACAAGATCCCTGATCCTAGCTAGGCGCCAAGTGCTCGCCTAGTCGGTTCTTAATGCTATACCCTCGTATCACATGCAAACCATGCTCGTCCCTAAGGGTGTTTGCAACAAAATTGACAGGGCAACCAGAGGATTCCTTTGGGGTGGTGATTGCCAAGTTAGGAAAACTAGTCTGTTTAAATGGGAGACCGTTACCCTTCCGAAGGATGAAGGGGGCATTGGCATCAAGACCATGTGTGCCACGAACAACGCCCTTCTGGCCAAATTAGGTTGGAGAATTCTTAAAGAGGGAAACAAGATGGTCCCCAGGTGCTCACGCGAAAGTACATGCCAAACAGAGCTGATATTCAAAATATGAAGAGGAAGATAAACGACTCAAATACCTGGAAAGGAATTTGCGCGGCATCTTATCTTCTTAAAAAGGGTTCGAAAAAGGTGGTAAGAAATGGGCAAGCAACGCTCTTCTAGATAGATTGCTTGCTTAACGAAGGGGATGAAAATTTGACGGTAGCGGAGGTTTGGCACCAAGGTAGGTGGAACTGGGACCACATAGGAATTGGTCTTCACCACGAGAAGCGAAGTTAGCTAATGAGTGTGGCAGTCTTAAGCAACAATGCTGAGAAAGACATCCTGGGCTGGAAGGATAGCACCAACAACGAATTCACTACCAAATGTCCAAATCAGCCTATAAGATGCTAATGTTAGGAAGAAGCAGTTCTAAGACAAAGAACTGGGATGATATTTGGAAGCTTTGTATCCCCAGTCGCATGAGATAAAGAAAAATTATATGCAACTCTGAAAGGAAGAAGTGAGGATTTACCTCGGACGAAAGATGCCAAGTGTGTGGTGAGGATAAGGAGGACGTTGATCATGTTATTCGAAAGCGTCCTGCGGCGAGAGAGGTCTGGCAGAGGTAACTCATTACTCATCCATTCTGGATTTCAATACTTGGCTTAGTACTAATGTTACAGGTAGTAAAGATGGCCACCCATGAAGACAACACAATGCCAGAGCAGCCATTACTGCATGGTAGATCTAGAAATGGAGAAATAGTGTCGTTTTCAACGGCTCGAGCCTGGACATCAGCGGAAATATTACATGGCTGAAGATCCAATTCAACGACATCGAAAAAGCGCTGGCGAGGAGTGCAGGACCAAAGGGTAGGAAGCAGCCAGACAATAGAAGACAACATCCCTGGACACCACCTACTGCCCGATGGGTGAAGATCAACACGAATTGGTGTCTGGAAAGGAACAACGGCGGTGCAGCATGTGGAGGGGTTATTCACGACGAAAATGCTGATTTCTTGGGCGCATTCTACCGAAGGATTGGATCGTGCAAGGCTCTTGAAGCAGAGCTTTGGGGAATCTATGAAGGACTCACGAAAGCGTGGAAACTGGACTACCAGAGAGTTATTATTGAAACTGACTGCGCCAAGGCTTACAACCTATTTGAGGATGACAAGTCCTACGATAGCCCGGTAAGAAACATCGTCGATCTTTACAAAGCTACCAAGAACTGGGACTGGAGTATCAAGTTTGGGCACATCCCAAGAGAGCAAAACAAAGTTGTCGATATTATTGCCAAGCAAACTGCTGTTGATGATGAGCAGACGAGATTTTCTTTGATGGCCAATGAAGACATGCTGAGAGCAATGCGTGAAGATGAACTTGGATTGCTGGGAGCGTCGACTACTGTGAAGGTCAATCATTGATCCAGGATATTTTCCTCCCCTCATTCAAAAAAAAAAAAAGGTAAAACTTACTAATGTTGTTGTGGAGATGTTTGCTACGTCTAATCCAGATTATGTACATAAAGGGGTATATACTTTCAATTAACAAATTATCTACAATTAAGTTATTATGTACATTTAGAGAAAAAATTAAACCAGATTATGTACATAAAGGGGTATATACTTTCAATTAACAAATTATCTACAATTAAGTTATTATGTACATTTAGAGAAAAAATTAAACTTTTCGTCCCTTAGTTATAAAGTAATTGTAGGATTTGTCCCTACTTGTTGGTCGTAATATTGCAAAGTACAAATTTGCAAATATCAATTATAACCTAGGGACGAAAAATGAACACGATTTAAAAGCAAGAGCGAATCCTACAATTACCCTATAACTTAGAGACGAAAAGTTAACAGATTATGTACATCCAGTTATAACTAAATATACATAATTTGTTAATTGAAAAAGTACATAATATGTTAACAGTACATAATTTAGACTAGGGTTCACAATGCGCATGGTGAAATCCATTCCACGATATAATTTGTCAAAAACTACCAAATCTTTGGCAGTAAAAATGTTCAAACAAGATGTAACATCAACTTGTAAATAGTAAACTTCTTGTGTGTGTGTATATGCCATGAAGCAGCTACAAATAGTTGGAATTTATGTTCACTTGAAGCCACTTATCCTCCAAGTTTACAACATGAGTACAAGTTTATTGCCTGATAATATACTATGAATAGGTTCTCTAGCAACAGATGTATTCAGTTATTCTCCAGAATAACAAACCACTATACCATTAGAGTTTTGCTCGTACCTTTTCGATCAGTTCCCGTCTAAGAATCTTCCCCGAGGCAGATTTTGGGACGCTGTTTATAAACGTCACCTTGCGCAATCTCTTATATGGCGCAACCTGCACAAAGATGGAATTTGCAGAATGACTGTACAAAGCACAAAATTAAAGCATTTCTGTACTCCACTTCATCCCCAGACAACAATATTGGACTAAGACTAGGATTGCAATTCCTTATGGTCCGTGAGAATTCAAATTTAGCTTTATCCCGAAAAGAATCAAAAGGATAAAAATTTCGATGCTTTTCTTCTCACATTAATATATATTCTTTCACATAATTTAAACAATTGAAGTATGTGCTCCATCTCAACTAAAAGCCTAAGCTGATAGTTGGATTGCACATTAATGGTTATATGCTCAACAAATACTACTATCGTCTTTTTAGGCTCGAATTTCGTTATCCTATTGAAGATATTTCTTTTTTGTAATAACACCTAACGTGACTTAATAATAACGAGGATATTACCTGGCCTGCAATGAACTTCTTGACATCTTCTTCAGTCAGAGAGCTGTTCGGGGAGCGAACAACATATGCAACTGGGACCTCACCAGCTTCTGCATCCGGGTATCTGTAAGAAAAACGACAGTTTAAGTATTTCAGTATCGTCACGTTTGAGTACTGCATAAAACTCTCAAGTTGTTAAATAGCGTGCAACTTACGGGATGACAACAGCATCCTGTATTTCTGGATGAGAAACGAGCAGACCTTCGAGCTCTGCTGGTGCGACCTGGTGACAATCAAAGTTGAAATGAGCAACCTCTGACATTGTCAAATCAAATAAGTAATTTTAGGAATTAATCGTCAGTATTAGCGCTAAAAGAACACAGCTGTTATATCAAATTTCACTAAATGTTGTTCTTATAAACAGAAAACAATGGTCTGAAAGTTGACGGCAAAATTAAGGATTCAAACAAAACTCAGTTATCATCACAAACTTACCTGATAACCTTTGTACTTAATCAGCTCCTTGATACGGTCAACAACATATAGCATTCCATCCTTGTTAAAGTATCCAAGATCTCCAGTATGGACCCAGCCTTGCTTATCTATTGTAAGCTTTGTAGCCTGTGGATTCTTGTAATAACCTGAAAATGAAATACAGTGATATATGGTTCCGTAAGAATACAGTTACACTAAACATAATGCGGCTACTTTCCAGGCACATAGATCTCAATATGCACTATGCACGAGGGAAACACAGCCACTATTCGAGGGTGTGCAATAAACCCTGCATTCTGAGTCTAGCCGGACCAAAAGGAGGTAAACCAGTCTAGGTTGCTCATAACCGACCACTTCTTAACAAAGATCCCACATTCCTATCTTTTTTTTATAATATGAATCAATTTATAGTCTACACGATCCATTTCAAATGAACAATCGCACTTACTTGTCTTCAGAATATTACATATTTACACCCTATCAAAATAGGAGAATCAAATTAAAACAGGACAGTGAACAGCGGTATACATGACTATACAATAAGATAACTAGAAACAATATACCTTGCATCATGTTAGGACCTCGTACCCAAATCTCCCCCAACTGACCAGGAGGAAGATGCTGCAGTTTATCAACACTAACGATTTGCGCCTCCACTGCTGAAACCAGCAATCCAGCTGACCCGGAGTGTCTTGGACCAATTCTTGTATTCTCTATACACACAACTCCACAAGTTTCTGTCATGCCATATCCCTACAATTAACACTTATTTACTGCTTTTCTCATCACAATTCATTTTCCAATCACTAAGCTGCTCAGAAAACATTTATGTTGTCAATCAAATACTAAGCCTAAAACGGGGTAACCCCAGTCAAGATTGACTAAAAACACAAGGTCACGAGTTCAAATCCCAGTCTTTTTGATATGGGCAATGGGCAACCTAGACTGGTCTACCTCCTTGTTCTTTTGCCGGCTAGGGTCACAAGGCAGGGTTTACCGGTGTACACCCTTCCAGCCTTCTTAATTTGAACCGATCAGCTATGGGCAATGAGCAACATAGGCTGGTTTACTTCATTTTGATCCTTTACCGACTAGGGTCACAGGGTGTTTATCCGGTCTCGGATAGTGGCTACGGATTTCTTGGTCACCCAAAAAATACTAAGCCTAAAACAGGTCGTATTCTTTGAATTATATACAGATTTCTTCAAGAAACTAAAAACTACCTGAATTACAGTAGCCTGAGGGAAATTCTTGGCACACTCTTCCATCAATTCCTTCCCCAGGGGTGCTGCACCAGACCCAATCTGCCTCAGAGATGTCAGATTATACTTCTTGACCACACTGTTCTTAGCCAATGCCAGAATGATGGGAGGCACAACCCACATATGCGTCACTCTATACTTATCCACAGTTTTCAAGATCATCTCCAGGTCAAATTTTCCCATAGTTACCACAGAATTCCCCCTGGCCAGCTGTGAATACAAGATAATTGAAAGCCCGAAGACATGAAACAGCGGCAAGAAACACAAGAACGTGTTTTGCGGCTCCCCCGCCGCGTCTTGATCCGCGGCCACCATCTGAGACGTCGCGATGAAATTCCGGTGAGTCAAGATTACGCCTTTACTCAACCCCGTCGTCCCAGAAGAGTACAGCAACGCGGCTGTATCGCTCTGGTTTATAGAAATGGTGTCAAAATTCAATGACCCTGAGTTCTTGACCAGATCGGTGAAATACGTGAGGCCGGAAATGGAAGTTTTTTCCTGACCCAGAACCAAAACCGGCAAGTTGAAGCCTTTGACTTTGTCGAGCAATTGGGGAACGGTGACGATGAGCTTTGGGCTACAATCCTTGATTTGTTTGGAAAGCTCTGGAACTGTATACATTGGATTCACGGTCGTGGCAATGGCCCCGGCGGCGATGGCGCCCAAGAAGCAGAGTGGGAAGTCGATGGAGTTGGGAGAGAAGATAAGAACGACATCGTTTTTCCTAACACCCAGTTGATGCTTCAAGCCATGAGCGACTCTTGAGACCTGGGATTTCAACTGGGAGAAAGTCAATGTCCGGCCGGTGTCGGCGTCATGGATGGCCGGTTGGTCCGGGTACTGAGAAATGTTCCGGAAGAGGAAGGAGACCATTGAGAGGTTGGGGTCCCGCGGGAGGACAATCGGCGGCCGGAGAGATCTGTAGATTCCATCGCGGCCGTACCCAGACTTTTCCATAGCTAAGATTCGGAGAAAATGGAAATTTGTGAAATTCGCCGGAGAGAGCAAGTACTTATCGGATTGCTGACGCAGAATGACGAGAGCGTTTCCGAGAGTGTGGGCAAAACACGCAAATACATAAACAGCACTGTATGGCTGTATGTAGATCGCAGCGACTTTTGATAATCCGCTTGAGCGAAATAAAAATGAAAAATAACAGTGGAGGTGGCCACAGCCCACAGGTTCAAGGTCGAACTAATCTGAATTTATTGGTCAAAGTACCTATGAAGTTCCTTTATAGTGTTTTGTTCAATTTAGTCCTTGTACCTTGATTCTGATTAATTTAGTTCCTCTACTTTAAAAAGTGGTAAAATTAAGGACAATTGTCCAAATCTCATTACGAACATGGTCGTAATTATGTATTTTGGACATACTAATTTAATATATTGGTGGTAAAAATAATAAATTTTAAATATTTACAAAGTAATATATGAGTAGGAATATAAATATCATCAGCGCCACGTAACCTAAGCTAACGATAATATTAACATCGTTAAGTACAGGGACTAAATTGAACAAAATAAAAATATAAGGACTAAATTGAACAAAATAAAAATATAAGGACTAAATTGAACAAAATAAAAATATAAGGACTAAATTGAACAAAACATTATAGTACAGGGACCTTGTAGGTACTTTAACCGAATTTACCTGATAAAAATGAGTTTGGTTTTTACTGAAGTTGGACCGGACTTAGCTCGAACCGAAACCAATTTAATTATAAAGGGTCGATTCAAGTCCTTTAAAAACAATCGTTATACCCTACACCACGGCGCGCGTAGCACTGTGCGCTGCGCGCCTCTCAAAACGACGTCGTTTTTGGGAGGCGCGGTAGGAAGTTGCTGTGATTATGTGTATTTGTTCACACAATTATGTGTATTTGTTCATACAGTTATGTACATTTTTTATACAATTATGTACATTCTTTTTATACAATTATGTACATCCGAATCAGAAAATTTGTGTGTATTATGTTAAGAGTTGATGTGTATTATGTTAAAAGTTTATGTTTATTATGTATTATGTTAGATTATGTGTATTATCTTTTAAAAAGAGTATGTATATTTTGTTATATAATTATGTACATTCATGTATACAATTATATGTATTCTAGTATAACATTAAGTACATTTTTGAACAACAGGTTTTTTGATAGAAAAAATTACTGTCATTCACTGGGGCGAAAAATTTCAAAAAAAAAAAATAAAATTAAAACGACGTCGTTTTGCATCTGGGCGCACAGTGCAACGCGCGCCGTGGTGTAGGATATAAATTGCCCTTTAAAAAGGCTCGGAGTTTAGCATGGGACCGACCCGAGGCCCAAGCCCAAATACGGCTCAAACATTGATCTAGGTCCGAACAAACGCATGCGCCATCACCCACGGCAAAAAAAAAGAAGTAATTTTGTCTAGCGACGTGCAACGGCCAAATTAGCCTTTGGTCGTTGCACGTTGCAACTGGCCTCTATCGGAGGCTAAGCTAGGTCTGGTATCCGGCAGAGGCTATTGCTCGGCAAATTATTGTGTAGACCATGGTCCATACAGTATTATGTGGACCATAACAAAAAAGTACATTTTTAATATACTAAATGTACATTATTTTTGTATTGAATGTACATTATTTTTGTACTGAATGTACATTATTTTATAATATACAAAATATAGTCCACACAACTTGTGTGAACCATGGTCCATACAATAATGATTGCTATTGATCAACCAGACGGTCAATGCAACCACAAAAAAATTGGCCGTTGCACTGGTCAAAGGCTATTTTTAAAAAAAAAAAAAAAATTCTTATATACTCTATAAATATCCATTACCCAATTTATTTTTATCAACAAAAATTCTCAATTTAACACTCTTTTACTCTTACTCATAACAATTCTCTATACATCCTCTTACTCTTTATATATTTTATTACTCATTTATATTTCATTCTTTGATTTCTTTCAACCTCTCAAATTTCAATACCTAAATTTTCAATTTCAATTTATATATTTTTAATTTCTTATAATCGTATATTAGTCCTATATTTTTAATTCTTATAGTCCTAATCTCATATGGCTTATAGTGACAATCCCGACAAGATGTCAATTGATTTTTCTTACAATAAAGTTTTTTTTTTTTAATAAAATGGAGGGTGTTTTGGGGAAGGAAAATCCTTCCCCAAAACGCCAACCCCCTCTTAGTAGCGTTTAGGATTCAGCGGTTTGGAGCAAACCACAAACCGCTGAGTTACTAAACACGATTTTTGGCATTTTGACTGAAGTCAAAACACCAAAATGATGGATTTCTAAAATTTTGGCGGATCCGCCACTAACCAAACAAGGCCATTAACTTCAATAAGCAAATTCTCCATCACACCTCTATGATATGTAGTAGATCCATTAGCCATTGAATTACTACACTAGTTTTATTTAGGGGTCCAAGATTTAAAGAAGTATAAACAGAATATGACATGACGTTGATAGAAGCTCTTATATCTAACATAACTTTTTCAAGTTTCACACCACTTATCATGCACGGAATAATAAACATACCTGGGTCTTTGCACTTTTCAAGAAGATTGCTTTGACTAGCAACAAAGACATTCTCTTGCACTTCCACTTGATCAACTCTTTCTTTATCTTGTTCCTTATTCATAGTGATAACTGTGACAACCCAAAAATAATTTTCCTAAATTCTATTCAATAAATTCAAAAATAGCTATTTTCACTCTTTCAAAAATTTTATTTCGAAAATGGTGTTTGGATTAAATAATTTAAATCGAGTTTTTAAATAAATTCGACACTGAGAATATTCTATTTCGAAAATTCTAAGTTTCGCGTATATTTATGTATCAAGTTTTGACTCAAAAAGTCAATATGAGTGAAACCGGAGAGGAACTTGTGAAACCTGAACCAAGTGTTTTAATTAGAAACTATCTGTTAGAAAATCTATTTTTGACCCCAAGTTGTCTAAAATTATTTTTAAGACCATGGTTCATGATATAAGGTGAACCTTGATATTTCTACAAGCCAAAGCATTTGTTGAGATATTTTAAAGTAAGCAATTACATTTTTACCCCTCAACCCTAGTAACAAAAGAGCACTATTTTACCCTAACTCTTAGTCATTTCATTCCTTCACTTTGGCAGCCTCACCTCTCCCTCTCGTGACTCCCTCTTCCTTTCCATATCGTCTTCATCTCCTTCATCTTTGAAGTTCATCTTCCAAAAACCTAGGTCCAAGACTTGGTAAGATATCTTCTCTCATTCTATCATCCCATTTCCTTTGGTTAGCTTGTCTTTGAGAGAAGACCTAGCTTGAGGTTGGAGATGGAAGGATTCTTGAGGTTGAAAAGCTTGAGGTATAACCCATGAATTCCCGATATGTGATTTAGTTGTTCAAGTGTTTATACATATATTTCGGAGAATTGAATATTTGTTGAAGTGTTGTTTTTTTTTTTTGTTGCCCAAAAGTATCCCTCTAGCCAATAGCCAAATGACTAATCCCCCGTCCCTACGGTCAGCATACTAAGTGGTAGGGGACTAGCCAAATGGTTGCTCCATTCACATGGGTGGGGATCAAATCCCCAAACCTCATGCTTAAGGGACGAGGTGCTAAACCACCATGCCAACTATGTTGGTTTTTGTTAAAGTGTTGTTAGGAAGGCAGTAAGCATAAGCTTTGTTCTAGGAAACTCACGAACCTTAGTAACGGATCTAGACAAGATTTATCACCATGGTCCGTAGTAACTCACTAGTTTGAGCACCAGTGTGTATGGTGATTGGGATCAATTCCCATGGCTGACAACTTTATTTTAGCTTTAGTTTGATGTGTTATGTTTTGGTAAAATTATTTAAGGTGGTACACTACAAGAAAAATCGCGAATCGCGACGGAAATTCGCAACGGACTATATTCCGTCGCCATTTAGCGACCGAATTTGCGACCAACTACATTCCGTTGCGAAATGGCGATGGAAACGGCGACGGAATTAAATTCCATCGTGTATCTTGGCGCAAAGATAAGATAAAGTCCGCGAAATATTGGCGGCAAATATTCACGACCGAATTGGCGACGGAAGTAATTTACGTTGTCCATTTTGCGATCGAAAAGGCGACCGATTTGTGTTCCGTCGTTAAATGGCGACGGAATTGGCGACCGATTTGGTTCCGTCCTTAAATGAATTAAATTTTGGATTATGGACTAAATATGGCAACGGAAATTGCGACCACCTAGATTCCGTCGCAATATTTTAATTAAATTTTATTTTTTTTCTACTTAAACGCTGCGTTTTGACTACAAAATTAGAATTAAATTAAAATTAAAAAACCTTTTTAACCCTAAGTCCTAAAATCTCTCAAAGACATCAGAAGACAGCAGCTACTCCCTCACGAACACTATCGCATACACTCCATCGTAGAAGACAGCAGCACACCGCCGTCGTCATCACCGTGCAGCCGTCGGCGGCACCAAAACTCCATAGTCGTCGCCTCCTCCTCCATTTCTGACCGGTAATTCATTTTCTCTTCATCCCCTCTTCATCCCCTCTTGGAACTTTATTGGTACTGAAAGTTCTGCACTGTGTTCTTGAATCAGCCCCATTCCAGAGATTGGCTTTGTCTGGAGACTTCATAGCTCAGTTATAATCTTTTTTATTACTCATTTTCTGGAGACTTCAATTTTCTGGCCTTTAGTTTTTGAAAATTAGTGTAAGCTTTGCTTGGTTTATTGGCTGGAATGTATCCTTCCAACTTCTCCTAGAGCCTAGGAATTTCAATCTCTAAATGCAGTCCTTGTTTGGCTCAGTTATTGGCTTTGTCAAACAGATATTTTTTTTTAAAATAGTTGTAATTTGGAGCTTCTTGAAAAAGATGGTTTTCTTCTTTTTTAGCGTTTGACCTAACTTCTACTTTAGGTACTAGATAGGCTCCAAATTGAGATGGGAAACAAGCACTTCCATATGCACTAAGACCTAATTGTGCTGCCTTTAAGATCCTTTATACAATATTCTGTATATTATTATATGTTATTTCAGTAATTAGCTTTGATGTTTTTGGCGTGTTTGAGAATCTCTCTTAGATAAAGTTTGCTTTGGTTGTTTCATATTGGATTTCT